TGGCATTCAAATTACGACAAACTAAAGCCTGGAAAATTGTCAGCGACACTCGCTGTGTTTTCCCAGCCCCTCCCCCTCCCCCTCTCCGCCCCCTTCCCTCTATCTTCTGCAGTTAGTCCGCCCTACAAGTTGGCAGTTCAAAATGCTAATCACCACATGACATTCATTGTCTGTGAAACAATTGGACTCCCTAACTAACACGCCCCGCCATCATTATGAATCGCATTATGTGCCGCTAATTTCGTGGCCTTCGAGGGGTGTGGGCCAAAACGCGTTAAGCAGCCCGTCAATTTCAGGCTGCGCAAATTGCAAGCCATCAATCGTAAACAGATTTCAATTTGCCCCTGCGGAACTCCAATTACCCACGACCTCGTTGACCTTAACACTTTTTTAACAACCACAGATAAAGGTCAAGAATTTTTGTTTTGGCATTCACAGATCAACACAAAATCAAAGATCCGGACCACTAACACAATTTGTCAAAGTCAAATTTGTAAAGATAAAAAATACAATCAAAATTGAAAAGTTCAACGTCAATAGAAATCTGCTGCAAAATCAAATTATTCTACGTAATTAAACAGAGGAGATGTTCACAATAAACAATTGAAGTCAATGATGTGAAAATTGCCCGATCAAGCATTTAAATGCAGTCAAACTTCACTAAATGTTTTAAGCTCAATTCAAGTTATGAAAACCTTTGGATACTTGCAAAAATCAGACATGAACGGGGATGAAAATTTCGAGCATAATAAAATTGAAATTTTTGAATGCAGTTTTATCAATGATGCAATTACAAACGTTTAGAGGTATGCCACATTGGAATTAGATTAAAATTGACAAAGTTAAAGCTGTGAAAATCCATTGAAATCTTACTTTTTAGCTTTATGGAAAATTGTTTACAATTTGTCGTAACCACTTATACTAATTGACAAGGCTTTAATAACTGGATTGCATAAGGGGCTCTTATCGTGTGCTTTTCAAACCATTAATGCAACGCAAGCTGGTAAATTCCTAATCGCAAAATATAAAAATTAAGTGCCGACCGCATGCCGAAATGCAATTATTTTTGACGTCCGTCCAGAGTCCGGTATTTGCATATTGTCAACATAATTAAACAGGCTTTTGACTTGTGGTTACACGCCCACTCGAACACACACGTGTACACACTGCGTATGAATATGTATGAACACCCACTCGTTCATTCAGAAAACATTCAGTCAAGTGCCCTTGGATGGCGCTGCTGAATACCGAGTGCACAGCTCTGAGTCCTGGAAATGCAAAATTGTTTTTGGCAAAGTGCACAATGCACTTGACGACTGTCAAAACGGACATGAGCGGAGGAGAAGGAGGAGGAGGACAGCCAGCGGTTGTCCTGTCCATGTCCTTGTTATTTATGTAAAATGTTGCACAACATTTATTGTCCCCCACAAATAAAATTGTCCTTAACTGAAAGAAAATGAGGACAATTGCAGCAACTTTTCCGGCAATTTTATATATTGAAACAATGCCCGTCGTCCTTGCTGCTTGGGTCAGCAATAAAAATTTGTCCTGCGGTAAATGAAATGGATAGCAATTGCGATTGCGATAACTGGCTGCCCAATGGTCAAGCCAGTAAGCGCGGATCTTCCCACTGCCCATCGCCATATAGCCATGGCCCATCGAAAAAATCACGATAAAAATGTAGGAGAATTCGACGAAAAAAAAAAAAAAACAATGGGCCACCAAATACAAGTTATAGCCGGGTCGAGGTCACCACGGACTGGTGTCCTCTTTCCGCACTCGACTACCCTGTAATCACAGTCTTTAGGACACAGAATCATCAATAATGAATGGCAACAATTTGAGAAATTCAAAGTGAGTTAAAAAACATGAAATACAAGATATTAAAACACATATTCTACAAGTTATTTTGAAATAATTACTTGGTTACCTTAAAACTTTTTCTGCAGAATGTTAATAGATAAAAGTAAGAAACTTGCACTGTAAAATCTCTTGAAGTTCTCATAAAACAAGTTCATTGAGCAGCTGAATCAAGTTAACTATACAAAGGGACTTAAAAGTAAAGTGCAAAATATTTATTTATTAATAAACCAAAGGGTATTGCCTCGTCCAGTACTTTTCAGTTGTGTGTGGGAAGAGTTTCCGTTGTTTTTGTCTAAGGGGCGATTTCGGTTTCAGTTTGCAACTTGTTGGCATTGCTTTTCGATTCCTGCACTTGTCGGTAAAGAGGTCTTTGTTTTTTAATATTGCACTTTTGTTGCGAGTACTTTTTTTGGGAAAGTTTATCTGGCTTGGATTACTGGGTCAATTGGTTGGGTGGCCTCCGCTTTGGGGAAATAAACTTTTCGGGATCGGGGACAGGGTTTTGCCTAATTAACAAAGTACTGAAAGGGAAAGTTGGGCACACTCCCGCAATATATCTGTCCTGTTCGCTCTCTCCCTCCCTCCCTCCCTCTTTCGCTTTGTTTCTGTCCCTGTCTCCGGTTTGTTAAATTGAACTTTGACCCGTGCATTGACATCGTTTTTGCGTAAACTACAGAACTGTGTCAGGTAATTGCGTTCAATAAGCGGGTCGAAATGGGAACTGGAACTCAGAAAGAGACGGTGAGACCTGGTCAAAAGGAGAGACGCACTGAAGAGAGAGAGAGAGAGAGAGAGAGAGAGGGAGAGGGAAAGGTGCGAGGGAGACAGAGACACACATGGCCTGAATGCCGTCGAGTGTCACTTGCATCCTGCATAATTGGTTTATCAATTGCTGTTGGCCCATTCAAATAAGCAACTTGCATTTGTGCGTTTAACTCCAAGCACGTCAGCTAACCCCTTTATTCGTGTTAACCCCCTTTTGGAGACGCCTCCAGCAGCGCCGCCCATTTCATGGCCCATAAAGCCAGTTAAGTCCAAGATGACACCATCCACAGCCCCCTGCATACAGTGGGACCACTACGCCCCTGGACTTTCCCACTCTGACCGCACAAATTTGGAGCAAGGCAATGATTAATTTATGCGAAATCCGAAACGAAATCGTGCGAAAACCAAATTTGCTCGCCACACACAATTTAAATGCGAAAAGAGATGACACTCGTAGGTCTGTGAAAAAAATCAGATGAAGAGAAGGCGAAAACAAACAATTGAAAAAGTTCAGAATCTAGTTGAGTAAATGTTAGCTCTAAAAAAATTATACTTTTTCCATAAAATTTCAAGAATTTTCAGAGAAACTTCAACGAGCTCGAAAAAAAAAATAAAACCAAAGAATTGTTATGCAAAAATGCATTATCTGAATCTTTGTAAATATCCTCTCCAACTCAAATCATTATTTTTGAACAAAGTCGCTTATCCTTGCATTGCAAATTGTAAACTATAGTTAAACTAATGGTTCTCCACGAAAATTAAGCTTAATATCGCCGGTCTGCATCTGGGTTTACTTAACCCCTGCTCAGTCCATTGGATAATACGTAACCCCGTCTCAAGGCGACTTTATCTAGTTCCGCTCTCACCCTGGCCAATTCAACCGCACTTAGCCGCACAAAGAGTCTCCATTCCAATTGGCATCTTCGATGGCCCCCCATTTAGTGCTCCCCCCTCAACTCCTTCTCAACTTGAATGCAATCAAGGATTTTTTCGACTGGCCAAGAGTGCGCTTTCAGCCATGTTTCTTCGGGCGGACACTGGCCCTCCTCGAATCCTCCGTTCCCATTCCCATTGCCATTTCCATTTCATAATCCCCCCGAAACCCCCCGAATCTCCCCCGTAAATCCCTCGGCTGAATCACGGTCTGGCCACGATTATAAAGCCCGGGGCATAAATATTAGCAAAGGCGTTGCCGTTGACGTTGCTGCAGTCATTTAAATGTTGTCGGTCGTTGTGGTTTCAGATCCTCCAGAGTTCTTCCTGCTCCTCTTTTGTGCACCCACTTTTTCCTCCTGTTCCTGCTGATTATGCCTGTCAACGAAGTTTTCCCATACACCGCCAAAAAAATGTCGTTGTTATAAACCAACAAGAACAAAAATAAACTTAGAGAAGATTTCAGATAACATTGAGTTTTCGTTAAAACAAAACAATTTTAAATAACTATTAACTCATAAGAAAAGCATTACAAAATGTTATCAGAATTTAAGTAAACCCAATTAAAATAACTATCTTAGACGAAAATATTTAAAAAAGGTTTCAAGAATACATCGCCTTTCTATGCAATTATTACTTATTAAGTACAATTTTTTTTAACTCACGCTTTGAAAACTGCATGTTTTTTTCGCCGTGTAATACACTGCTTAACCCTTTGCCACCCCAAAAATCCAACTCGGCGCACAATGAATTAAATGAATCTCAATTTCCGTTCGGTTTGCGGTTAAAAGCCGCAGTCGTCGTCTTGGTCTTTTGGGCAAAATGCAAATTCTCCGGCGGCGAAAATGAAAACAAGCCGAAAAACTCTCGTTGCAACAACAACAATGGCGGCGAGATTTTCCCATCCCACCTCCGGTGTCTTGCCTTCCCTCCCCCTGACCTTTCACCCCTTTAACCCGCCTGGTGTGCTGCATCAATTGCCTGGCTTCCATCTTCCATTCGCTTCTCAAGTTTCTTCCCGTAAATTGCTGCAAGATGCCCCCGAAAAATATAGAAAAAAAAAAAAACTGATGCCGGGAGCAAGGATTTTTGGCCCCCGAAACTTTTGTGCCGGCAAAACTTTTACAACTGCACCAGGACGATGATGAGATTGGTGGCAACCGAGGGGAGTGAGGCGAAGGTGGCTGAATCAGGAGTGGAGTGGAGTGGAGTGGCAAGGAGGCCAAGTCGCTGGGTCGCCGTCTGCAAAACTTTTGCGATTTGTTTGCGCGAAATAAACGCGACGCAGATAATTTGCGCAAAAGTTCGCTTACTGCCCGCCGACCTCGCAGAAGCCAACCCGAAATCCAACCGAAAATCTAAGAACCCAAAAACCCACTCCCTCATTCCCCCAACCGCCCAATCCCCATTCACCATTCCAATTCCATCTTGTCCAACAATTTCATTTGGGGAATATGTATTTCTGGTATGTCCAAATAAACCAACCGAAATGAAAATGTTTCGCGTTCGCTTGAAAGTTCCGCGAAGAAGTTCTTTTTGTTCGGAAATGCCACACTCGTTGATTACTGAATCCATTACCCGTGTCGCTGGCCTTCCATATGAATCTCTGGTTTAATATCAAACTTGTTTTAATGGGGTAACTTGATTAGCACACATAAATTTGTTGATTACATCCTTGACGTTTGTTTGTTTTTTCCAACACCTAGTTCTTCTGGCAAAGCATACGATAATAATTAATTGGTCAAGCTCACGATAATTTGCTTAAGTGATAACGTAAAAAGAGAAATACGTATGCTAAATTCTTTTTCCTCGATGATTAAGTTCCCTACTCTCTTGATACTTTTCAAATAATTTTTGCATGATCAAAATAAATAAATAACGGATAATTTATACTTGCAACCGCTTTTTCCAAGTCTCTAATCACTATCCATTTAAGGCAGAACGCTGTTTTCGGTTCCTGGGAGGATACATATTGTGAAACTCGTTGGTGGAGATAAAGTCGATGATGGGCAATCGGCTGCTCAGGGGCACGACCACATCCTTGCCAACTCCGGTGGCATTTCCAATCACGGATGATACACCAGTCCTGTTCCTCGCCGATCTAGTTGCTCCACCGCCTGCCAATCGTCCCTCGAATCCGGCACTTCGAAATCGCTGATCCCTTCCCATCGGCTGCTTCATCTTCTGGCCAAGATGATAGAAGAAGTCCACACCCTCGGCGGTCGTCGTCTCCACTCGGCTCATCCTTCGGGGATCCATTCGATAGACCTTGGGGCTCCTGCTCACCGGCGAAGGCTTCTTCTTCTTGCCCGCCTGCTGAGCCTTCGAATCCTTGACCAGAAAAAGTACTGGAGTTCCCCCTCTTTTTTGGGGTCTCGCATCCACGAGTTTGGTCCTTCGAGCAATTCCCATCGATGGCGATGGGGCCTCAATTGCTTTTCTGCTGGACTTCTTGAAGGTGACCTTTGATTTGACCTGCGGCTTCTGTTTGGGATTGCCCAAAATGGTGGGTTGCAAAGCTGCACGCATCAAAGGAGAACGCCGCACGGGTTTCTTCAGCGGATTCTTAGAGGATTTCAGCTGAGTCTTCGGCTTGACTTTGCTGGGAATTTGTCGCTTCTTCAAAGGCAAAATCCTGGGCTTCTGGCCCACTTTCGACAGCGACCGCTGCTTCGACTTATACATGGTTTCCGCACTTCTTTGTGGTTATACTAATCACACTCGTCTTTATCCGATCCGTCGCTCTCAGTAATAACTGGAAATTTTGACGTGGTTTCAGCTTAGGGCTTTTTCGAATTGAATTTCTCGGCTTGAACAGTTGACGCGTTGACTTGGAATGAGAACGGAGACGGAGAATGGCGAAACGGATTTCGTAGTGCCTACTTGTCCACCTAGTCTTGGTTCCCCGAACTTGAGCACGTTCCGCCTCCTTTTTCCTGTCACCTCTTGACTTGCCCTCTGCTTGTTTGTTTGTCTTGAGTCAACTTCTATTTGTTTGGCCCCTGCTCTTTTACCCTTTTACCCTTCTCCGCTTCCCTGCCATAAAGCCTTTGTCTTGCCCTCGGGTTAGGAAGAAAAAAACTTGAAATCAACTTCCGTTTTGTGGCCCTTGATTTGCATACGAGTATATGGTATGCAATGTGCCATACAGAGAAAAAGGATAACCCCACATTTAGTGTAAACTCTTTAACTCTAAACTGTCGGCTAAGTAAACAAATTGCACACACGCTTTTAAAGTGTCTCATTTAAGCTCTTGTTTGCAACACTGCCTATTGATTTTTCCCAACTCATTAATAAAGTTAGGAAATATCGTTACTGCCATGTACTCGTGTGTGGCCTTTTCCCCATTTTCCTCCATTTCCTTGGCTTTCGGTTTTGGTTTTCTTCTTTCGCTCATTTTGGTGTCAAGTGTTGCGTATCATTTAATGTGACACACTTAACTGGGAAATGTGGGCAAAAGAAAAGGGATGGGGAAAACGGGGGAGACTTTTCCAGAGTGGCAGCCAAACACATGTTAGTTGAATGCTAATTTGCTGTGCTAAGCGAATGACAAAAAAACAGGAATAAAACGTCAAACCAGGCGGCTAAATGCACTAAGCGCAAAGTGTTGGAAAACTTTGTTATTGAGAAAACAATAAGTGCTAAAATAATTATACAGAATTTTCTTTTTAAAATTAATTTTATGTTATAAGATGTTTTGTTTTACAAGAATAATATAAATGAGAAAAAAAACTAATCGAGTCGATTTCTCGCCCTGCACTTGGCAATATTCATTTGGGGGACATTATTTAGCTCTCAGGAAAAGGAACCCATATACAAAGCTCACTCACTCACACACACACACACACGCACTTGAGCAGCTGGCAAGACAGGAAATCAAGAGGACACCAGCACACGCACACACACACAGAAACAGCCAGCTGTTGCAGGGACTTCCGGTTTCGGTCAGCTTTGATATATGATCAGAAATCAAGTCTTCTGAACGCCACCACCACATAGAAATGCATATAAACTCAATCTGGGAACGAAGTAAATTGCAAACTGAAGCAATCAGCTTATGTCCGTCTTGGTTGTATGTTTATTTCCCCTTTCCTCCCATTTTTTATTCGTCTCTTTGTTTTGGAAGCGAGCTTGATTATCACGTTCCTTTTGTGTTGAACAATATTAAGTATCCGCAATATCACGTATACGCCGCATTGGCCAACGAGTGGCCACTCAATCTGTATCTGTACTGCTCCTCTTTTCGCTCGTTCTCTTCCCCTCCTTTGTTACCACTTAAGATTCAATTTTAAAATGATTTTGGCTTAACACCTCAATAAGTCCCTCGGATATCAGTTGCAGCCGCCGCAACTAGCAACTTGCAACATGCAACATGCAATCTGCAATCTGCAATATGCAACCTGCAGCAACGGCAGCAAAATGTTGTTTTCCGCTTAAGCACATCGCTAGAAAAATAAAAAAAAAAAAACAGGGAACAAAGCAGGCAGCCCTTTCCACTTCAAACCAATCCCAGAAGTGCGTCCGTCCAAACGTTTGTTTATTTTATTTTGCCGCACAATTTTGCCCCTTCTTGGCCGCTTTCTTCTTCAACCCCTTTCTCCGCTCTCCTCCTCTTTCTTCGGCCTCGTCTTGTGCCGCCGGTTCCTTGAACAACAGTAACAACAGCAACAACAAAGACCACAATGAAACCTCAGTCGAGGACCAGGCCAAAAAAGAGCGAGACTTCTGGCCAATCGACTGGCAGAATGATCTGTAAATTTGTCACTAATAAATCCGTATGCTATAAGTTTAATCGGAAAAAATATAGGCAAGTATTCTTTAGTATTACCAAATCTTCCAAGTTCCCAATTTACAAACTCATTCAAATAAAAGCGTTGAACTGTTGTTTAAAATTTTTTTACATATTTTTGGTCCTTTTTTTGAACAGTTTTCCACAAGCAATTAAATTTCCCACTGAGAAAACACCAGCATATATACCCATGATACCCTTTCTTCTGTTGTTCATAGTGAAAAATGAAACAAAACAAATGAAATACAAAAAGGAGTGGAGAACCGGCAAAAAAGGATGAAAACAAGAAAGGAAGCTAGCTTCGGCAAGCCGAAGCTTATATACCCTTGCAGTCATCAAATATGTCGATCAAAATCTATAAGGGCTAAACAACATAGAAACTATTACAATTTTTCTATTCATTTTCCATATTTTCGACTATTGTTCGTATGGCAGCTATATGATATATTTGTCCGATTTTGATGAAATTTAATATGTAATTCAAGAGTAATTATAGAACTCTATATTCCAAAAATCATGCTTGTCTGATGAAAAACAACGATGTTATAATTTTATTTCCCGTATTTCTATATAGATTTTTCGATCGCTCCTATGGCAGCTATATAATAACGTTGCCGGATTTTAATGAAATTTTTTCTTAAATTAAGGGTTATTAAAAAAACTCCCTGTTTTGAAAATCATGCTCTTGGGATTAAAAACAACGACGTTATAATTTTTTTTCCATTATTTATATATATATTTTTTGATCTCTCCTATGGCAGCTATATGATAGAGTTATCCGATTTTGATAAAATTTAATACGAAATTCAATAATAGTTAGAAAACGCTATCTTGAAGAATTCAAGTCGATCTGATCAAAAACAACAGAGTGGGAATTTTTTATTTCATTCTCTTGTATTGGAGCTATCCGATATAGTCGGCCGATCCGGCTCGTTCCGACTTATATACTGCGTGCAATAGCTACACAACTTTTGGGAAAGTTTCAGCAAGATAGCTTCAAAACTGAGAGACTAGTTTGGGCAGAAACGGACAGACGGACAGACGGACAGACGGACAGACGGACAGACGTACAGACGTATTTCGACTCAGAAGGTGATGCTGATCAAGAATATATATACTTTATGGGGTCTGAGGTGTCTCCTTCACTGCGTTGCAAACTTCTGGCCAAAATTATAATACCCTTTGCTCTGCAAGGGTATAAAAACACAAATGTGCACATGCTTCGTTGCCTGGAGTGCGCTATTTTGCACCTACGGGATTTTGTGCCTCACACACACACACACAAGCACACAACAGCGAGGAAACACACACACAGACACACCACACACTTGAACAACGAGTGCACACACACACGAACACATGCAAAGCGTGGAAAATCCATTCGAAATCAGTCAACGCGCCAAGGCTTTCATTCAGTTAGAAAGCAGACAGCAGACAAGCAAGGGCAGGAAAAGGGTTTCTCTTCTTTTTTTTTTTTTTTTTTTGGGGGGGAGGGGTTGGTTTAACTGGAGAAAGGGAGGAGGGAAGGGGGAGGGGGGGAGGGGTTGGGGCAACTGGGACCCCGTATTCAGCTTGAAGCGGAAGTGCGGCTTGATTTACTCAACTCGTTTGCTCGCTCGTTTGTTTCCAACTGCTGCAAACATATTTTTCCGCACCACCCGAGCTAAAATATTTATTAGCCCTTAAACAAACGGAATAGATGTGCGGCCCGGCCCTCCAGAAAACTACAGCTCCGATACTCCAGCCAACCATATATGCAACTTAAAGACTTTCCAGCCAAATGGCCCGGAAAGTAAACTATCATCTTCCCCCCCAAACACAAAAAAAAACAAACTAGTACTGTTTATTAAAGCATTTCTTACGCATCATTTGTTGCTTTGCCAGCAAACAAAAAAAAAATGGGGGAAAAGGGAATGCAAATGGCCCAAAGGAGAAAGCAGTTAGTGCCGAAAAATGCTGATGAATACGCAACTTCAAGTTTGATTAAGTGAAATCTCGTACAAGTAATCGGAATAACTCGAACTAAGCCAATCCACTCACGTACTCCTACGGAATGCATCAATCAAAATCGAACTGGGAAACCAGAAGAAAACACACCCCAAATTGGGTCGAGAGACAGGAAAAGGAATTAAGTAAATCGCCAAATTAATTGCGAAGAAGCAACACCAGGAAATAAAAGGAAATCCAAGAGCAAGTCCCAGGTCCAAATCCCCACAATGCCAGGTCAATGGACTGGACTAAACCGAACCGAAAGCTGGCCAAAAACAGAGGCGGGATGTTTGGGTGGAAGTGGGGCAAGAAAGTCAATAGGCGGGCTAAAATAAGCCGAAATGCAAAGAAAAAGAACGTTAAGTGGTCGAGTGTTTGGTAACGAAAAATACTTAGGGATATATCTATATAAGGATCAAACTCAATCAGGAAAAATGGAAAAGAACAGTAATCAAATAAAATACAAATGTTTTCCTAGATAACTCCCATAATAAATAATTCTAAAAATAGCTATAAGTACAAAAGTGAATTACCAATACAACAAATAATACACTTTCCAAGTACAGTCAACACTCGTTATTGCCACCCATTAATTGGGTGCTCGAACCAAGTTTTCGAATTCGCACCCGAATATAATTAAACCTATCGGTCAGAGCGGTTGGCCAAACTTCAATCAAACATTTAACCAAATTAGTAGAGTTCTCGTCAATTGCCAGTGGTCGGAAAAAGGGGGCGGGGCCAAGGGGGGCGGGGCCAAGGGGGCGGAGAAGGGGGTGGGGGGGCGGTCAAATGGGAAGTCACGCAATTGTTTCATTGCCCGAAAAAGTAGGCAACAGATTTTTGTGCTTCAATTAAATTTGATTTGCTGCCATTCAGGGGAAATGAAAATGGCCAAGAGGGAAAAACGGGGGCGGTAAGAGAGGTTTGGGAGGGGGTGGGGGGGTGTGGGCATATCATCAGCAGCCTGATGAAGCTGTACGACATCCATGTATGCGCAATTTGATAAGCCCCGCCTTTGAACCCTCTTTACCCATCATTAGTTTCGCAGTTTGTGGACCTTTTTTGCGCTCGCTTGCCGCAAATTTAGTGTCATGTGTGTGGCATTCTGGCATTCTGGGATTCTGGGATTCTGTCGGATACTGTCCCATCCCATTTTTGGCCATTACCTTTGGCAGTTGCGCCTGGAAATGACATTTTCACATCATTTGCTGATGTGGCAAATGTG